TAATAGTAATAATAATATTAATTTCTATAAAATATCTACAAAGTATTTAAATACAAAGAAATATAACATAAAAAACGTCAAACGAAAAAAAATAAGAGACTTTAAAAAGCATCCAATTATCATCATGCATGTAATCACGTACAGTGTATGGCTCCAGGTCTACCAACAATTTGAAAATTTCCTTTTAAAATGTATTTTTAATATTTATATTTTTTAAATACAGTGCGAGTCATTTAACGAAAAAATGTTTAAAATAAAAATTAAATGATTCGAGGGGGAAAAGCTGTTTTCTTTCTACATTTAACTTGAAACTGAAATATCTCAGTTAGTATGCATTTTACGAAAAAAAAATTAAATGATTCGAGGGGGGAAATCAATCAGTACTATAATTGGTCCTCATACTCTCCTCCTTATAGGGGGAACAGGGGGTAACTTTAAAATTTCCAATGGAACACCCTATTTTTATTGCAGATTTGGATCATTAGACTAAAAATAGGTAGTTTTGTCAAAAACATTTTTTCATATTTGTAATAGATGGGGCTGTAATGAAAAAAAAATCAGTTTTGTTAGATTTTTGAACAAAATACTTGGTTTTCTTTTTTAAATTTATTTATTTATTTGAAATAATTTCGTTTTAATATTCCGCTAACAAATTTAAAAAAAGCAGTTATAATTTTGGTAAATATCTTTTTTAAATCTCCAAAGAGTGCCGATCAAAAAACTTTAATCAGTTTTCCGTTCAAAATTGAAAACTATTAAAAAGCCTAAATTAAACAACATTTTAAATATTCTCTAAGCGTTATTTTATTTAATTTTATTAAAAATCTATTTTTTTTATTAAAGGTTAATAAGAATGCGATTTTGTAACCTGATAAACGTAGAAATATCTATCTAAAAATGGGGATAAATATTTTTTGCGTGTTATGCCAAAATCATGAATAACGTTTTTGCTTTATTAAAAATAAGCGATTTTTGGCTCACCCTGTATATATCAAATGATATTCTTTAGGTCTCCTCAATAATATACTTTAATATACCGTAAATACGGGTGACTTTGCACCCCGCGGGTGACTTTAACCCATTTATGAAAAATCTTTTCGCGCTCGATAAAATTAACATTTATAATTTGTTGGTCTATACCTGTCAATTGAGCGATTCTATTGAGTTTATATTACAGGAAAATCAGTGTTTTAAAGAAAGAAATGGGATTTATTACACTTTAAAATTGTATATATCGCATCAGTGCAAAACTCTTAGAAATACACGCGTTAAAATTTCTATATTATGCGCAATCCATTGAAATGATTATCCTTGGATAACTACAGGTCGATTTTTTATTTTTTTTATTGGTTATCCCTTGCAATAGATATATGTAGCTGCTAACACGTGTCTAATAAAAATAAAATATAATATTGAATTCATTTTATACGGAAAATACACTGTGAGACAAAGTAACCCGCAACTTAACTTTGCACACCCAGTTTTTAATTTTTATTTTTGAAACTTAGCCCTATGTAATATTATAACATAGTTATTATGAAAGAGCAACTCAAGACTCAAATTTTGGTATACAAAATTTAATGTTTATGATTGTTAAAACCATAAAAATGTTAAGCTTAAGTTTGAAAGTGAGCCAAAGCCACCCGTGTTTACGGTACACTTTGAAATAAACAAAAATTTAAAAAAAATCATGAATTTTCAAAAAATTTTGAAAAGAGGAACAGCTAGGATTTTGGTAAATATAATTTTTAAGTCACCAAAGGGTCCCGAACAAGAAACTGCAATCAGTTTTTGGCGGCATTTTTATGTGACTTAAACTTTGTTCAGGCACACCGGGCTGTACAAGGTGTGTTCAGAAAATATTGGGAATTTTCGTTTTTTAAAACAAATATTTATTTATTTGTCTACATTAATGTTGTCACCTTCAAAATAGTCCCCATTGAATATTATGCACATGTGCCAGCTCTTCTTACAATACTTGAAACACTTCTAAAACTCGATCTTTGGGATAGCCTTTAGTTACTTAGCGCTTTTAATGTCATCTATGCTTGCAAAACGACGGCCCTTAAAGGTTCCCTTTATTTTTGGGAATAGGAAAAAGTCAGACAGAGGCATGTATGGCGAATATGGAGGCTGGGGCATCATTACAGTATTGTTTTTGACCAAAAATTTTGTTCAAAATTTAACAATTTTAGAACAAATTTTGCTGCCACGCGTTTCATACCCCAAACATTCGAAAAAATTTCATGGGATATACCAACATCATCAGCGACTTCTCTAATGGTTTATAACCATTTATTCCACTTTTTCCATGTTTTAATCGGTTGTTAATGTGCTTGTGCGTTCGGGGCGTTTGTCATCTTCAACGTCTTCACGGCCATCTTGGAAACTCTTATACCACTTGTAAACTCTTGTTTTACTTATAGCAGACTGACTATAGGCCTTTGTTAACATTTCACAGAATTTATTTCATTTTTTAAGCAAAATTGGATACAAATTCTTTGATCCATTTCTTTTAACGAACGAAAAATCGCCGATCTCATAAAACACGTCTGACCTTAGCGGCTGCCACAGACAAAGTAAACAATGAAAACAGCTAAAGTTTTTATCATACTTCGGGGGCATGTATACCAACGTAATATAGAAAATTTTATGGCAATCGGACCCTCCGAACCCGCGAAATTTAACAATTCCCGTTATTTTCTGAACACACCTCGTATATCGGGAATTTATTATAGTACCTATTTAATACATTTATATAACAGTTAATCAGTTAATGTTTTTGTGTGATAAGGGTAATAATGACTTGGTTTGTATTACAGAAATGGTTGTTGTCTCACCATTAATTATTAAGACCGTTTTTTTTAAATCTAAAAGAACTTAAATTCATAAATATCTACAATTAGTAAGTTTTGTGTCATTGGTTTTTATAAATTTCGGGTGAGTCAGATTGAAAAATTCCGCTTAACCATCTACTTGGTAGCCAGCAATGGAAGGAAATCATAATTTATAACGGGCGAGCGTTAAAGCTGAGCAGTGCTAACCAGACAGTGTGTCGGTTGGAATAACTAATTAATTAGCACCGGCTTCGTTGGTAAGAGAATTAGCCGATAGCGAGCAAGAAGTTATCAGACGAGGATCCACATGTCTGTCCAATTTAAAAAAACTGAAGGAAGTTAGTTGTATTAGAGTAGTGGTGGGAATTTCAATTAGTTGGTGGATATATTTCGATGGTGCATATTATTAACTTAAGTATTCTCTCTAAAAATGAAATAGTCAAAATTCTACTATTTGAATTAGTACCAGCATTTTTTACTAATAAAATAGTCGTTTTCACTTTTAAATAGTTATTTTTTACTACATAAATAGTTAAAGTTAAATTTAAGATTAGTCACCATCTTTGACTATTTCTGAGAGTTAAAATTTAACTAATTTCTTTAATCGTTTGCGGCCAACAACAAAGTATTATTTGAATTAAATGCATATACCTAAGCTCCATGGTTCAATGAGCTTTAAAAATAAATAAAAATTCAAAAAGTTTAGCTTAAAACAGCAAATAATATATTCAACTTTAAAATATTATGAACAATATTTATTGATAAATAAAATTGATTTTTATAAGAGCGGCTGATAGCGGAATGGGTTATGACAACAGCTTGACAAGCTTGACAAGTGACAGACCTGAGTTCAATCCCCGGCTGGGTCAAAACTTTATTTAAATTTAAATCTACTAATATGATTATTTCATTCAGTACACTGTTTAAAATATCTATGGTGTAAAGAGTAATCTCAAAATGGTGTCAAAATCCAACACCAAGTGGTGTTAATATAACACCATGAATTATGGTTAAAAATGTTATATACAGCAAACACCAAAACGGTGTTTATCTAAAAATATTTGAGAAGTGCACCTACACAGAAAAAAAGGAATAGTTCATTTAACTAAATTAATTTAGTTGACCCATAAGTATTTATTTTTGTATTTTTTTAATTTTTATTAACTGTGGGAAGGTTAATATAAACAAAGATTAGTCTGACGGTACTAAACCAAATAGTTATTTTATTTTTTTTTAAATTGGTTAAATTAACCCAGAAAACTTTAGTGAAACCAACCCGCTGTATGGTTCACTTTACTAAATATGTTGTTTGTAAAATAAGAGTTACTTAAACCTAAAGCACTCTGTTAAAACGATTAAAACAATTTGCCATGCATTCCCGGTTGCATAGTGTGTACCAAACGCGGCAAAGGCGGTGTGGATCACGTGATGTTCTTAAATCTCGCCTCTGTTGACTTACATGAAGAATATATAAGCTCAGGTAGTCCTTTGCTTTGGTGTGACACTACAAGTTGTTTGATACCTTAAATAGGGGGAAACAGCTGTCAATACTTGAAGTATTTTAAGTTAGTGGAACGCACTAAAAACATTATCTCTAGCGAGTTGAAGGTTCCATTTTCTGGAATAATACCACTGGTAATATACTAGTAATGCGTCAAAGAACTTCCTGTTTCGTTTTTTTTCCTTTTTTATGTGTAGTATGATTTAATTTGACCACAAACACATAATATTTAACACTGAAAAGGAGTTCAATTTACACCAGGTAAAATTTATTTTAATACTGTGTGAAAGTTAAATTAACACTATTTTAGTATTTGAATTTACACCGGACTAACGGACCATATTTAACACCATTTTGGTTTGTATCGATATAGACCATGTATGGTGTTAATTTGGTGTTAAAATGGTCATGAAATTTTGAACAGTGTATAATTTGACTAATTATTAGTGACTGCTTTTTCGCTATGACAATTAGTCAAATATGACTTATAATTAGTTATTTTTGACTAATTCATTTTAAAAGTGTTGGTTCGAAAAAAATATGTTTTGGGTTTATAACTTTAAATTAAAATAGGTATTGCAAAAAACTATTTTCATGGTAAATTGTGGTAAAAACCTTATATTAAATCGATTTAGTTTATCAAAAATTAAATGGTAACTTACCCATTATAAATAATAGTTTCTTCTTGAGCCTTGGTATCTGTAACTTGCATATGGGTAACCAAAAGTCCATAAATGGGTGCCGAAGTTTTGTCCAGGAAAATTTCCATTTGCAGGGGTGTCCCCGGGGAGACATTTAGTTCTCCAGTTACCAACTTTCCAGCTTGACGTACACCAACACCTAGGATCGGTTCTGGGGCTTTGTATTCCAAATTGGTGGTAAACTCGAATTCCCTGTAAAAGAAATAAAAACCGTTAAATTGATTTTTAGAAGTAATAAAATATAAATTTGTATAAGCTTTAAGTTTGTCCTTGTCTTCTAATTTTTTAACTATTAAAGTTTAAGTAAGTGTTTAAACATTCAAATAGTGTAGGAATTGAAGGTACTAAAGCTGTTTTAAAAAAATTTAACGCAAAAACATTATTGAAATATGTAGGTTTCATATACTATTAAAGAGGATTTAAATATTATTTACCGTAGTAAAGCCATAAACATTTTCTAATTTTATTAATACTATTAACATTAAGGCGTTAATAATTCTATGAGAAGTTTCTATAGGGAGTATTTAAACTTATAAATACTTGAACTATAAAGAGAATAATAAAGTAATGTTTAAGGTCATAACATATTATGTTTTCATAACATCTCTCCAAAAATAAATATTTGTTTTCATATACAGGGTGTTTCTTAAGGGCCTGGTTTGATTCCGAAGGTTATTTTGTGAAGAATAAATTTTAAATTTATCGATAAAAGATAAAGATGATTTGAACAAGAAATTACACATTAAAAAAATATTTTAGTGTTCTTCTAGGTGAAAGTTTTAGAGTGAAAAGGTTAGTGTAACACTATTTTTAATCCTAAAATATATTTTTTCGTCTAAGTGCGATGGAATCATAGCTACTAGTGTTCAATCGATCAATCTAACTTAACACTTAAATATTCATTTAACACTAGCCAAGCTCTGGCAGTGCACATTAATGTAAATATGCAATCAGGGGGTGTTCAGTGGACAAAAACGCAAACTTGTTTTGTTCATTGTTCTATCAGAATTTGTGTTGGAAGAATGCACCAAGCAGTTTAGTTGTGGTTTATAATTATTAACTAAAGGTAAGTCAATTTCAAAGTAATATTACTCAACAAGGTTTATAATGTCAAAAATTGCATTTTGTTTTGATTCATAAGGCCGAAAATCGCATAAAAATCGCGTTTTGTTTATTGTACAGACAAATGTTATTTTCTTACAATAGCTAAGTTTAATGTATATAATAAGTAAATCGTATTTTTTTTTTAATTTTAAGATGTTTTTCCTGAGAGTAAAACATGTCCATGATGCCAAGTTAATAAAAACTTTAAAAATTTAGCCCAAGCCTTGGCAGTAGGATACCAGCAGATGGCATTTTATGATGACAACTTTAGCACTGAATTGCAAAGAGGACCTTCAAAGTTTTATTTTGAGATTATCACTGCAAAAATTTTTCCCGAATCTATAGAAATTTTAGTCACAAAATGGGTAAGAATTGGTTACCTGTATAAAACTACGAGATTTTAAGCTTGCTTTACAAAGACCCATACAATTTACACCAATCTAACTGGGTCAATTGGTACTTTATGCCAAAATACACTGAAAAAAATAAGCTGTTGAAACAACAACAAAAATATTAATTCAACTCTTTATGCACTTTAAATACAAGCAATGGTTTTTGCACGTTTACTAAACCATCTAAAAATGTCAAATTGTATTGTTTAATTGAACAACAAATATTATTCAAATTAACAAAATAAGAATATTTGTTCTAATCTGCTAATCTGGTTAATTAAACATTCTTGATATGTATACATATATGAGTAATATTTCGAAAATGGTTGTGCTAATATTTTTTAGATGTTAAGGTAAATTTCTTGAAATGTCCAGGTAACCTTTTTAGCATATTCACTTATCACCAATAAAATGTTAAATTAAAATAATTTGCTCTAATGTTGGGTTAATTAAATTATGAAATTAATATAAAGAGAAAGAATTGAACCTTCCCTCGCCAGAGTTTTTGTTTTGAGTGCGTTCCACCTACTTCAAAAACCTACCGACATACAGCTGATTCGACCTATATTGGGGGTATTATCAGTGTCGGGCAATTTGGTGTAGTGGAAGTTCCACTGTGGAACACACAAACGGCTACCTGAGCTTATATACTCCTATCGTAAGCCAACTGAGGTGAGATGTAAGAACATCACGTGATCAACACTGTCTAATGACGTGGCGTGGGTGTTCGAAGCGCCCTTCACGGCAATTTTATGAATGCAAAATTAACAAATTTTAAAGTAACATTTACAATTTGTTAAATGAACAAATTTAATGTTTTGGATTTAAAGAGCAACTAAACGTTAATTTAATAGTTTTTTTAGGTAATCCTAAAAATTTCAGTATTTGATTCAACCAATTGCAGCTATTAAGTCAAAATAGGATAAACATTTTAATTCAAAAAATTAGTTTACGTTAAATCAATATTTTAACTGTCAAATAAACAAATAAACTTTGACAAACTCTGACTATTGCTTTGACACCAAAATATAGATTAATCCAATAGGTTTTTTAATGAAACAACATTTTCAAAAATGACATTTAGGCAAACGTTAACTCAACTACATTATTTTTTTCGGTGTTTTATTTGGTGTTTTGAACTTATTTATATTTTAAGTAATTGCCAAAAATAAGTTTTATATTTAGTAGCGTAAACTTACGATGGACTGTATTTACGTATTTATATAAAGTAATTGCCAAATATTGTAGTTTAATTTTTTGTAACGTAAAATTGACAATTGATATAAACATTATTTAAACACCCCAGCAAAACAAATGAATATATAAAAAAATAATAAGATCAGAATTATTGCAAACCTCTCCATTATACATATATATTTTTTTAAGCGTACAATAATTTTTATATTATAACCCTTTAAAGTCTATTTAAAAAGACTTCATAAATATTAATACTAGTTGAAAAGTCAAATTATTATTAAACTTCCTACCGAAATAAAGCTAAAATGTCATCCTAACCTAAAAATGATGTGACACAATTTAAAAAAATTAAAAAATGCAATGCAAATACAAATAGTATATAAAACACGGCAGCGAAAGCTTAATAATTGCCTCCCACACAATCTACTGCCTCAGCTGACTCCTCGGCAGTGAAATGTATGTTCAGCGATAATAAGTGCTTTCTCCGCTTGGTCTTTGATGTACTAATACTATATTATATATTATACCATTTTTATCGACATTAAATAAATTTTATGTATGTAACACCAATCTTACATAATATTGGTGTACAATTTTTAAATGTATTACTACACCTTTTCCAACAGTATATTCGAAAGCGTTAAATGTAGTTTCGAAATGTTATTAGTATTTGGGTATATATCAATTGAACTTTAGAAATAAAAAAAGTATTTTAGAAAATATCATATGTAGTTTAGAGCTATTAATTTAATTATCGATATCGTCAAATGTAAATGAGAATAGTCAAATTATTATGAGGCTCCGTTAAAAGTAGTTTCGGTTAGTAAATTTAATTTTAGAAATAATCATATGTATTTTAGCTTAATCATATGTAGTTTCGAAAAGGTGATATGAATTTTAGATAGCTATAGTCTGGAGCGCGTTTACATTAATTCCGACAATCAATCTGAACGCGCTCCTGGTGGCTAAACATGAAACTGGGGTTAAAAGTCAGAAATGACAGATTTCTCATTTTTTGGTTGTTACTGATACCTACCAGGTACGGTCGTGAGACATTCAAGAGAATATAAAATTTCGAAATTTTCTACATAATGATCTTTTCTATGTAGAGAAAGGTAATCATATGCAGATAATTAATTAACTAAGTTAAAATTAATTTAATTAAAAAAATCTTGTTTTTTTATATTCTGCAGCTCCAAAGTCAAGAATTCCAAAAACATAAAAGTAACGCAGAAGTATATTCACAAGGCTTCCCTTGTTTTAACCGCCTCTAAACGTGAACGTGAATAAAAATTTGGAGATTTGTATCAAATCGTAAATATTTATCTGTAAAGATATTCAAATTATTGTCAAAAAATATCATCAGGAAATCACCCTGTATCGCAAAAACGGTGAGCATTTGGATGTATGCGTCAACTTTTTAGATTACTTTCGGTCGCCGATAACGTGGTTAAAAAGATAATTTCGGGACACCCTGTATTTACTTAATCTATCACGCAACTTAGAGGTTGAGATACAGCGAGGTCATAAATTTTACACAGCTGTCAAATGATGTATTTTGACAGAAATAACATAATGCCATCGAAAATACAAATGATGCTTTCAAAAATTCATTTGATGCTTTATAAAATTGATTTGATAGTTCGAGAATACATTTGACGTTATCCAAAATCCATATGATAAGGATAAAATATATCTGATGCTTTCCACAATCCATTTGATTTGGCTAAAATACATTTGACTGATTCGCAAATCTAATTCACTGTTAGAAAATACAAATGATATCTTCTACAATTCATTTGCTAAGACTAAAATACAATTGACGCTTTCAAAAATTTAAATGATAATTTCTCAAATACTGTTTGAAAAGGTGTAGATATATTAAATTTTCAGCACTATTATCATTCACACTAAAAGTGAAATTAATGCAAATAAATTAGTGTCAAAGTGAACACTTAAGAGAGCTAGCAAAGACGGTTAGTGTGGTAATTTTCAATCAAATAGTGTATGAAGTCGCACGAACTGTGTTAAATGTGTTACACTACAAGAGTACAATCTCTAGAATTAAAACAACATTAAAATTCACACTAACTTTAAGGTGAAAATTTGAACTCTAATAAAGTGGACCTGCTCAAGCTATAGTTATATATAACTAGTGTACTCATATGATTTTATAAAACGTTAAAATTTTAATCCTTTATTGTGCATTTTAAAACCGTTTTGAAGTATTGCTATTAAAAAAACTACATGCTGTAAATAAATAATAAATTATATTGCTACGGTATTCCATTTGTATGAGAAGGTTGGATGTAACGAATTAAACCTTCCATCAAAGATCCACTCTAGCAAATTACAATAATCGTGTATTTATAAGATTCTTAGAGATGATGTTTTCCGAGACAGAAGCCGCACTACTGCTGCTGCATGCTGCTAATCTTTTTAATCTTTGATCCCAAATTAAATGTAACGTTTTAGTTTAATTTTACGTTGGAATTATTA